GAGTACTGTGCATCTAATAATCAAATTTTAGATATTTTACTAAGCCACTTAAAGCATATATATTCATCAAGTTAAAAAAAATATTAAGAATAATTAAATCAAATTTAAAGGAGGATGTTAGAAAATCAAACTTGAATTAATTAATTAAATAAAGAGGGGGAAGACAAAAAACAACAATAAAAAAGGGAAAGACAAAATGGCAACAATAAAAAAGAGGAAGGTGAGGCATCAACTTTGTTGCTTATATAGATATATAGAGGTGAAAAAATTCATTAGTTTTAACAAGCTAATGCATAAGGGTTTATATTTTTTTGTATTAGATTAAATTAATATTGAATTTATATTTTTCTAAGATTCAATTTTCAGTGTTCATGTACATCACGGTCTATTTTTTTTCCCAAAAACTAAATAACAAATGATAATTTCTTAATCTATATGTAAATTTTATTTCTCAATTAAAAAATTAATCAATTTTTTCTGATGGGTCACTCTAAATTTACTAAATAGTAGTAATATATATTTTCGTATACAATGCAATGATAAGAATATTTTTTTCTTTTTATTTTACCTCTTTATTTCATTTTGTGTTTTCACTTTTCTTTTTTCTTTTGCATCAGTACTTTTCTCTTTTTTCGATTTTATAAAATTAAAAATATAATTATCAAAATAGTAATGATAGTTATAATAAAATTTATAATAATAAGATAAAAAGACAAATGATAATAATGATTATAATTAAATTTTTTTAATTTTTTAAATTTGCATATCACTAAATTTTATCATCATCATTATTAGTTTATTTACATATATATTTATTTTAACCAAGCAAAATTATAGCATAATTATATATAGAAATATATGCAAAGAAAAAACAGTAGTTTTTTCCTTGCATAATTTGAAGAGAGGCCAGTTCTTGAGAATATAGAGAAATATTTGGGGTCAAAATAGAATTTAAAGGAAATAAGGGATTTGGATGAAGTGGGACTGAACGCATGTTAAAAGTATCAAACAGAACAAAAACGTGGCGATCCCTCTCCATCGCTTTATTTTGTTACGGACACTAATTCACCTACTCACTTCTCTGCCTACTTTCTCCCTCCCCGGGGACACAGTCCTCTTATCTCATAGGTACGGTGACGGCCATTGTTACTGTAACTCGGAATCAATTTCCTACGAGGACGAAAAAAGAAATGGTGGCGCAAGATATTTGTGCCGACGGCGGTAGAGGTGAATAGTCTTCTTCGCCACTTTTCTCATCTATATAGTATTATTTACTGAAACCCGTTCAAGAACCAAATAAGGTTCACACTCAACTAGAAAACAAGAAGGAGAAATCCCTTGAATCGGTTACAATCAAAGAATCACACACGCCACCGCAGCCGCCACAGCTTGATAATTCTCGCTACAATTGCGGCGGAAATGTTCGAGCAGATGGGGGAGGTGTTGGCTGTGGTGCCGGTTCTTGTTGCTCGTGTTCACATTTGATCTAGGGCTTGGATAAGGATAAAAGCGAGGTGGTTCTGAAAATCAAGGAAGAGGAGCTGGCAGTAGAGGCCGTGGATTGTGATCATGTCACTGGCGGTGGCATAGCATGTTCATAACGGGAATGGCTCGTCTTCCTCGTCATCATCTGATGCTTTGTCCAACC